TAACAAACCATCCCATACTTAGAAGTCTTCATGGTTTGAAAGGGCCACCAGGAGCAGGCAGTGCCTGGCCACCAACGCTGGAGGGTTGAGGTTGTGGGGGAAGCAGTGTGGCTGTTTTCAGATGGAAGACTGATGTCAGCCTCCCCCCCCCACCCCCTTGTTGAGGCCCTCCCAGGCTGCCACACAGCAGAGTGGTCAAGAGCACAGTCTGTGCCACGCTGGTGGCATCTGAAACCAGGCTCTGGAAGCACCATGACCATCATCCACATGCAGGAGGTCCAGAACTGTGGTCAACCATGGGCTCAAGCCCCAGCACCATCCCTTATCAGCTAAGCCCTCAGACGCCTGACTCCAAGTCCTCAGTTTCCTTCTCTGTGAGATGAGGACAGTCATGCTGGGCACACCTGGATTATCGTGAGCACTAAGTGCAGTAGTGTTGCAGGTGTCCTGGCTAATAGTAAAGTCTTATGGAATGCTACCAGGACCCTCCCAGCGTTCATGCCTAATCACGCTTTTGCAGTCACAGAGAGTTTATTTTCAGAATTGTCAGCAGATGCCTGACATCAGATTTTTTGCCATCAGATGCCTGATGTTGGGTTCTTCATAACAGCAACGTCTCATCCGTGCAGGTGGGGGAGAGGCACAGGTGGAAGGTGCCCCAGGGACTTGGCTCTAGGCCCTGGGATGGCAGCAGATGAGCTGGCTCTACTTTGGAGATGAAAATCAACCTTCAATTGTAGCATTTCTCAGACATCAACCCAAACTGGAAGGTGGCCAAGGCTTCCATTTTAAGCCCATAATTGGCAAGTCTGGTCCTGAAACCCCATCCTAATCCTTCTCTAAAACCACAGGTCCTTGTCAGCTACCCGCAGCTCCATTTGGTTGTGTTGCAAAATTTCCACTTGTATTGACCATGAAAATAGCAATCTGTGGTGAAATGCTTAAAAAAGCGAAAGCCCGGAGTCTCTTGCAGTGAAAGCAGGTCCAAGTTCAGAAGGACGGTGCTGGTGCTTCTGAGGTTGGTCTCAGCGCTCCAGAAAAGAGCCCAGTGCAGCCATTATGATGCGGCAACCAGAGGTGCAGTTCACCTCCCCTGCTGAGCCAATGTTCGTCTGATGACTTCCCTGGATGAACTGTGCCCCTCGTTTAATTTGATAAAGCCAGGGTGCTGTGTTAGTTTGCTGCTTTATTTACCTTTCTAATTGTAGTGACCCCCACCCCCCATGCTCTCATTGCCAAAGACAGGTTTGAGGTCAAAATGGCAGGCTTCCCTATATAGCTAAGGGCATGGTGATGTAAAGGACAGGTCCTTACCTCTCCAAAGCTGCGGGGACTTCTCTGGACAGTGGGCTCAGCTAGAGAGGAGACTCAGAGGCAAGGGGGAATGTTGACTTTGCACCAAGAGGCCGATTCTCTTCCTGGTCTGGTGGTCGCTTTCCAGCCTGGTATCCTCAGTCAGGTCGTAGAGGCTCTCCGGCTCTACCCCTCACTCGTGCAGAGCCCCTACCCTTGCTCTCACGTGGGTGCTTCAGGGGTCCAGGGTGATAATGATGCGGACTTGCTGTCCAAGATCTGTAAAGCACTGCAGCTAAGATTGCCATAGTGTTTGGCAAGCACAAGGTAAATGTTGACAGTGTTTATTAAAAGGGGAAATGACTGTGGTCTTCTAGAAAAAGCATCAAAGACAAAGGTAAAAAAAAAGAAAAAAGGATTTACCCCATGCATTGTCTGTCTATGGATGATGTGCCCACCAAACCCCTCTCAGGGGGCATCTCGAGTGGGCACTCCTGAAGGAGCATGGAGGGCTGCACTGGGAGAAGCATTTTGCCCTCTTAAGTATTATTTCTAGGAGCCTTGGTGACACACTGGTTAAGTGATGAGCAGATAACTGAAAGGTCAGCGGTTCTCATCCATCAGTGGCTTGGCAGGAGCAAAGATCTGATGACCTTCTTCCATAAAGATTAAAAAACCCCAATGCCATCAAGTCAATGGCAACTCATAGTGACCCTATATGATGGAATAGAGCTGCCTTGTAGAGTTTCTACAGCTGTAAATCTTTATGGAAGCAGACTGTCTCATCTTTCTTTCACAGAGCAGCTGGTGGATTCAAACCATTGGTCTTTTGGTTAGCAGCTTGGAGCTTAACCCCTGTGCCACCAGGGCTTTTCTATAAAGCTTACAGCCTAGGAAACCATATAGGGCAGTAGCAACATTTCTACTCTGTCCTATAGGGCTGCTATGAGTTGGAATTGACTTGATAGCACACAATAACAGTAGTGTTATATCAGGACAGTAGGATACACCTTTTGCCCTAGACCCACAGGCCTGCTGTGTCATGGAAACTGAAGCCCTTTTCAGCTTCTCTTCTGCCCTCACAGGGACACACAGCCTGCCTCCACCAGGCACACGGTGGCCTAGATCTCTTCCTCTTTGCCTAAGCCACCTCCCCTGCCTGCTATACCTTGTCTCCGTCCCTCTTGTGGGGACAGCCATGACCTATGTCCCAGGCTTTCAGAGAAAGCCTGGTGGAGCCCTCGAAGGGCACGGTCTAAACACATGGAAAGACCTAGTTTCAATTTCATTCCACCACTGACCTTCGACACACATTTTAACCTCTCTGTGCCCCATTTTCTTCACCTTTAAAGGAAGATGTAGTAGGTGAGGTTTCCCAGGAAACAGACCCTGTGATGGAGAGTTGCATGCAGGAAGTTTAGTGTGGCATACTCTCAGTAACACTACCTGTGAGGAAGAGTGTGAGTGGGCAGATTAGGCACAGGGAGAAGAAGAACTTCAGTGAAATGACAGTGGCCTCAACCCATCCCTGAGCTCTGAAGCTGGGATGGCCCTACATAGTTGTCCTGTCTTGAGACAAAGGGGCCAAACCTTTATTTGTTATTGTTGTTAAGTGCTGTTTAGTTGATTTTTGACCCACAGGGATCCATGTGAGAGTTGAACTGCCTGATAGGGTTGTCAAGGCTGTAATGTTTACAAGAGCAGATTGCCAGTTCTCCAGATCTTTCTCCTGTGGAGCCACTAGCTGGGTTGAAGCCACCACCTTTCAGTTAGTAGCCGAGTGCTTGGCCGTAATGCCATCTCTTACCCACCAGTTGTTAGATGGGGGCTGCTCTTAGAGAGAAGAATCAGCTTTCCTAGACCAAAGGCAAATCCTGGAGAGGGATTCAACTGCCACCCATCAGCCACCACCACCAACTGGGGAAATGAGACTCTTGGTTCAGAAAGGAGGCCTGGGCAGCATACCACAGTGTCCACTGCAGAGAGCACTGGGCCTTTCCCCTCAATGAGCTTGGAGATTAGGGCAAGACCCAAAAACAATTCTACATTGTTAGAGGGGATAAGTCTGTTATTCTCAGTCATCATAGTAAAATTCTAATGATTGCATTGTAACAACTGTATTATAATGACTTCCTTCACAACTTCTCTTCTGTTTTCCTGTGGACTGCTTAAGGAAGACAGCCACAGTTTATTTATTATTATCATTTTCTACCTTTGCATCCCTAGGCCTGGACACAGGGCTTGGCTGATAAGCAGTTGGTAACACATAGACTGGAAAGATGGAGAAATGAATAATCGCAGGAAATAATGTGGAGGATGTCCCTGAGGTTGCCTTTGGAACTGTCTTAGATGTCTAGTGCTACTATAACAGAGCTACCACAAGTGGGTGCTTTAACAAACAGAAATTTATTCTCTCACAATTTAGGAGGCTAGAAGTCCAAATTCAAGATGCCAGCTCTAGGAGAAGGCATTCTCTCTGTGTGGGCCCTAGGGAAAGGTCCTGTCTCCTTTCAACATCTGTGGCTCTGGTGTCTCTTGGAGATCTCCATGTGTCTTAGTATCAACCTTATCATGGGTCTAGGAGGTTTATAGTGCAGGTAGCCTGGGTCCAGATGACAAGCTCTGCTTCTGGCTCTTCTTTCTTGGTGGTAGTCAGGTTCCTCCCTTTCTGATCCCTTCTCTCTCCTTTTATCTCTTACAGGAGAAAAGGTGATATAGGCCAATCCCAGCAAACCCTCCTTTTATCAGAACCACCCTGTGACCTGATTAAGGGTGTTACATCCCACCCTATTGCCCTCACATTGGATCAGGCTGATCACATCAGATCACATGGAAATGTTTACATCATTATGTAACTGCCACGTGACACCATTACATAACTACCAACTGCTGAACATCATGGCCCAGCCAAGTAGACACATATTTTAAGGGGATACAATTCAATCCATTTCAAGGACATTTCATTATGCACAAGTGTAATCTGTGTGTGATGGTCCCCTGCTTTCTCTCCTAGTCTCTCTGGACATGTGGCAGCCCATAGCCCTCTCTTCAGTCACTGTTGATCCATCCACCCGGCACTTTGACGTTGCCCACATCAGCACTGCTGCCACCAGGGACTTCTCGGCTGCCCGAGACCTCTGTTTATTGGGTAAGGGAGTTTCCTCCTCTTGGAAGGGTGACTGACACACATATGTGAGAGCCCAAGATAACCTGGAGTGCCTGGGCCTCCTCTGTAGCACCCACTTCACCCCAGAGTAGGTCTGTAGTCAAGGTCTCCAAGGAGATAAGCCAGGCGGCAAGTAAGCGGTCACTAAGCTGGGTCAAAGGAAGAGTATAGGAAGGATCCAGGGGTTTGTGAGAGACAGAGATGTGTGGAAGCCCTGATGCTGTCCTCAGATAATGGGTGGGCCATCATAGTGAGGAGGAATTACACTTGTCTAGCCAGGCTTGTGGGATGAAGCGGGTGTGGGAGGGTAGAACCAGATTTCAGGAGACGTTTTTGTTGAATATGAAGAACTTTCCAACAGACAAATCTGTTTACAGACGCATATGACCATCAGAGGGCTTCTAGTCACTGGTGGTATCTAAACAAAGGCTAGGTGACCACTTGAAAATAATGTTCTACAGACTTCTAGATTCTGCATGAGGCTGAGCTTAGATGACATTACATGCCTCTAATTCTGAGATTCCATGAGTCTACTCTTTTACAAGGTTGATAACAACATGCAAAAAGTATGGCTATGGTGTAGACAGGACCATGATATGCAGATGCACAGTGGTGCACTGCACAACTCTGAGTGGCACCATTCACAGATTGGACAGTGAATTGGGCCTTTAAGCAGTGCATAACTTGCCCAAGCAAATTCAGCATCACTACTTTCAGAGATTCTCTCAGTACTGAATACCCTGAATGCTGTGAATCATTTGAATTATCTAGTGCAGTCCTGACACACATGTGAAAGGGCTTGTCCTTAATCACCATAACATGGTGGTTAATATGTGGAAGGCAGAAGAAGCAGAGGGGGACAGAGGGAGATGAGGCTGTAGAGGAAAGCAAGGGTTGGAGCATGGAAGACCTTATCTTATATGACATAATTTTGAGTGCAATTGGGGATCCATGGAAGTGTTTTAAGCAGGAGAATGACAAAGGCACATTTATCAATTAAATAGACAGAAATATAACTTTTGTGTGGAAAATAGATTGATGGCAATATTGGGTTCCCTACCACCACTATTTTACTCCCAACCCCTGGCACA